TTGTGCGAGCGGGTTCGCCTGGCAGGCGACCTCGGCCGGCTTTTCTCCCTCCAGCGGTGCATCTTCGGCGAGCTCCTCCTCCGAGCCCGCTCCGTCAGTGGGGCTCCATCCCCCTTCCCCACGTATGGTCCTGCCATTTCCAACCGGGGAGTTGGCGAAAGGCTGGAGCCACCATGGGCTCCAGGTCGCCGGCAGCTTGGGAGAAGCTACACCCACGGGAGCCGATGGGCCTCGAACTCCCGCCGTTCTTGTTCGGTACCATTGCAAGGGGAGCCGTAAATTGAGCTTTTCTTACGAGGGTTCCTGCCGAGTGCTTTCCCACGCCCACTTCCCGCTTAGGAGAGGCTCTGTTTAGCCAGCGCTTGTCAGGCGTTAGGTTAGGTTGTATTGTAGGGAGGAGTGCAAGACCATGATGGTTGTCTCAGGAGAAAGTGGTTGCATCTTTGCAAAACTATTTACCTGCTGTGGTTTGTGTTTCCTTTTCCTACTGAAGGAATGAAGTTGTAAGTTCACACTGGCACATTCGCAGGGCTGTGCAAATTCTTTGCACTGTATTTCATAGGTGAAAACGTGCTTTTTAGCTTTCTTTGTGTATTGAGTTGCTTTTGAATTGCTTCCCATATTTTTATTTCATACAAACTGAACAATTGTGGCCCCTCTATTTTATTTATAAAGGTTCAGTGTATCTTTGCCTGCCTACATCAATCTGCAAGGGAGTTGCAGAAAAGCCTCATGTTCATCGAGCCGTGAGTCACAACCAATTTCTAAGCTGTTATAACAAAAAAGTGTTTGCTTTTTTTCACAAGTATCTTTAAAAGTGTAGTTTAGAAAGAGAGCATTTTCAATAAGAAGACACTACATTAATCCTGGATGCTTGCAAATCCTAAGATATATTCCTCCTCTAGTATTACACAGCTCTGTGTCCTATACACAGATTAGCTTTAAAATTTGTCACATTCCACTTTGCCTTTACTTTTATGTATCATTCCCCTGACTTCCTTACTGCAGGTTGGGCAAGAAAACTTTTCCTTTAAAACTTTTCAACAGCGGGCATAAAATTCTGCAGCTGAGGTCTTGAAGAATGCAGATGGGTACAGTATATGTTGGAACTCACAGTGTGTATTGACTAACCTAGTTCCTTTTTGCCTTTTTTTTTTTTTTTAAGTTTTTTTCTTCTTTTTTTTTAGTATTGTCTTGTTAACAGTGACTCCCAGGTGCCAACTCTTCTTTTTAAAGGGTGGGGGTGAAAAGGGGATAGGAAAGACTAGGTCTAGATTATTTATTAGCGGTAGAGTTTGAAAGCTTTCTTTGTATTTTTGAGCAAAATGCTGCCTACACATTTTGTCCTCAGCAAAACGATTAGATTAATAAATAGCTTTTGTTGGTGGAAACTACCAGCTATAGGTCATACGTGGTGATTCATGGCCCTCTGATTAACATGGGTTTTGGTATCATTGCCCACATGTATGTGTGGGGCTAGTGGCCTTTTGGTGCTCAGCCTTTTACTTCTGACTCCTTGACTTCTTTGGCACAATGATGGAGTCAGATCTTATTAAATGTGATTCTTCATGATATATTTAGCATCAGAAAACTTCTGTATCCCACTCCAGTTGTAAATATCTCTAGATCAGCTTTTCAGTGTATTTGGTAGTCTGCAAATCATCCAGGTGACTTGTACCAGATATGCTTTTGTATTTAACGTGGTATTGTCTTATTTAAAACCACAAATAAATTTCAGGAGATGAAACCAGACAGAGGGTGAAGTTTACAGATGACCGAGTCTGCAAGAGTCACCTTCTGGACTGCTGCCCTCATGACATCCTGGCTGGGACGGTAGGTGCATTTGGGGGGCGGAGGGAGACATCACAGAACACTCAGGCTGGGGTGCTGTGTAGGCAGTATAAGTTTTCCAGGTTGAATTCTGTCTTCCTTTATCAGATAGAAATCACCTTTATTGCCCCTTCAAATTATAGGTTCTGTTAGTAAATGGAATTGTTTTTAATAAACAATTTTTTAAAATAGGTTTTTATTGCTTTTTCAAAGAGAGAGGAAAGGAGTGAGAGAGAGAGATGGAAACATTGATGAGAGAGAGAGATGATGGAAGCATCGATCAGCTACCTCCTGCACACCCCTTACTGGGGATCCAGCCCACAAGCAGGGCATGTGCCCTGACCTGGAATCACACTGTGACCTCCTGGTTCATAGGTTGACGCTTAACCACTGAGACAAACAGGCTGGGCAAAAGTTGTCAGGTTTTTGTAGAGTCAAACAAGATAACATTTCTTCCCTGAATTTTGAAGTTTTCTAAAAATCAGTTGGGCATAACATTGATTTTTCTAGTTTTGTGTTATGCCAACCTTTCAAGAAAGTAACACATGATTCAATGAATATAGACCCCTAAAATTTTAAGTTCACTTCAGATGAACAAAACAGATTAGTGCTAATTTTGTAGAATGTGCATTTATTCAAAATTAGATAGGATTTAAGAAGACTAAGAAGTGTAGGATCTATAAAGATCAGCACCATTTTAAGATTTCGCAGCCACCTCGTGGATATAAAAACTGTCTTTTCATTTTAAAGGCTCAAATGTGCATGTACTAGTGAACGTTTTCTTTGTGATTAATCATTGCTTTATTAATATCATTGTGGTGGGAAACTGCTTAGGTGTATTAAATCTTCTCAAGCTGGCTCTTCTGACAGCAAATAGGAAATGAATGCCAAACTTTGTGACTCTTACCTGGGGCCTATCTGCACTTTGACCTTGTGTAGGAAAGCATTATAACTCTCATTTGCTACACATTTTTGTTTGGGTTGCTCTTTGTGTACCAGAGAAAGTCGAGCAGAATTGGCTAATTCAGAGCCAAAGGAATCCATCAATATAGATGTCTGGCTTCCATTAGTTATAAACAGTTCAGCTGTAGAATACTCCTGTAGGAGAAGTTTCATAACCTAGAATTGTTGATAGATCTTAGTGGGAGAAGTTTGGAGACGAGGGACATGCATCAGAGTGAAGCATTTCAACCATGTTTTTCTTTTTCTTTTTTTAATATATTTTTTTATTGATTTCAGAAAGGAAGGGAGAGGGAGAGAGAGATAGAAACATCAATGATGAGAGAGAATCATTGGTTGGCTGCCTTCTGCACGTCCCCCACTGGGGATCGTGCCTGCAACTGGGCATGTGCCCTAGACTGGAATCATACCTGGGGCCTTTCAGTTTTCAGGCCAATGCTCTATTCACTGAGCCAAACTGGCTATGGCCAACCATGTTTTTCTTAATCAGATCCCTGTGTAGCATTGTTCCAGAATGCTGGTGAGAAAAATAACCAGAATGAGGCCATTTCCTACCAATGTTTATTGTGTTAGGTATAGATTAATTCACCAAATATTTTTTTTTAAATATATTTTATTGATTTTTTACAGAGAGGAAGGGAGAGAGATAGAGAGTTAGAAACATCGATGAGAGAGAAACATCGATCAGCCGCCTCCTGCACATCTCCCACCGGGGATGTGCCCGAAACCCAGGTACATGCCCTTGACCGGAATCGAACCTGGGACCCTTCAGTCCACAGGCTGATGCTCTATCCACTGAGCCAAACTGGCTTCGGCCATTCACCAAATATTTATTGGACACCTACTCTCTGTGCCAGGCACTGGGGATATGGTGCCAATAAGACAAAGTCTTTGCTCTCATGTAATGGTGGAAGAGAGCATACAATAAATAATAAGTGGGTAATGGACTGTTCTAGATAGGGTGATAAGGTAAGGCCTCTTAGGGACATTGGAATAGAGACCCTTATGGTGAGAAGGAACATGTGCCTGGCTTTGGGGGTATAGTGCTCTGAGTAGAGGATGGAGATGAGGACAGCAGGAATGCCACTGGTGTATCTGGACCGGTGTGAGTGGGGGGAGGGAGGCAGAGGCTGTGGAATCATTTGAGTTATGAGAAGCCACGGACTGATCAGAGTCATTCCTGTGTGGGGTTGGGCAGGGGCACCTCAATAGAAGGAGTTTGAGGAGGAGCAGACTGAGGAGAAGGAGAAAACCCAGGAGACATGTTCATGTGAAGATGCAAATCTCAGGAGTTGCCGAGGATCGATTAGGACAAGGATTGGGAATTCAAATGGAGGTTGTAGTAAAGGTTGAGCCTCCTTGGGTGTGGGCTACATGGAAGTGGAAGGTGAGGGGTAGGGTTGAATGATGGGTCTTATGGGGAGTTTGTGTTAAATTGGAATGATTGTAATTCTTTAGAGTGGAGCTGCAAGATGAACGTGGTTATAACTGTCAGCCTGCTAAAGGCTACGCCAGGCCCACATTTTTGTTCAAAACTATATCCTGTCATTGGGGTAAGGCAAAGAGGAGTGGAAGTAATACTTGTATTGGGGCCTAATGGGAAAATATAGTATTGGTTAGTAAGTTTGGGAGAGTAAAATAGCTGGGGGGAAGGTAGTATAACTTGTCTCAGTGGAAGAACTTTGTTTTACAAAGGTTCTGGAAGAAACCTTTAATGTCTTTCCCTGTTAGCAGTGTCAGATCATTAGTGAGAACACAGGTGTTTGTGCAGTAAAAACGGTCTGACAGGCTGGATTTAACAGCCACTTGGGATATTTTGGAAAGACCTAATGAGTGTGGTGTTTCAGCTGTTTGGTGTTTAGCTGCCAGGGTAATTGGCCAGTACTTCCCTGCCTCCTTGGCAAAGCGGAAAAGATACTTCCAGAGAGTAACCATGGCACCCAGGCCTACCCTCCGCTTACTTTAGCCTGAGGGCTCTCACCCAAAGGAAGACAGCGGTGAGTTTTGCTTCCATTTGTGGTTCCCTAATGTAAAAACTTTCTTGGCATTTGGAAGTTTTTAGAGTGGAAATTGATTTGCACTTAAAATTTTTAGCACTTAAGGTTTTAGTGCTTCCTGTGGTAGTTACTTCATTAGCTTTTATTTTATTTTTTTAAAGAGAGTGGAAGGGAGAAAGGGAGGGACAGAAACATCAGTTGGTTGCCTCCTTTACACTCCCCGATGGGGATTTAACCTGCAGCCCAGGTACTTGCCCTTGCTTCTGACCGAGAATCGAATCCTTGATCCTTTGGTGAGTGGGCCAATGCTCTAACCCAGTGGTCGGCAAACTGCGGCTCGTGAGCCACATGCGGCTCTTTGGCCCTTGAGTGTGGCTCTTCCACAAAATACCACGTGTGGGCGAACATGTACAGTGCGATTGAAACTTCGTGGCCCATGCGCAGAAGTCGGTATTCTGTGGAAGAGCCACACTCAAGGGGCCAAAGAGCCGCATGTGGCTCACGAGCCGTAGTTTGCCGACCACTGCTCTAACCACTGGCCAGGGCAAGACTTCATTACCTTTTAAGTATTTCTGATAGCTGCCATTAATTTTTCAGCTAAAGCACATAGTTTCATTTGTGGAAACTGTATTTTAAAGAATCTTAATTGGTACTTAAAAGAGTGAATGAAGCAAAAGTCAACTTTACAGGGACAGTGATTCTAGTTGCAACTTTGGCTTTTAGAACCACTATTGCTCTACCTCTAGATCCCCTGTGTAACCAATATACATGAACTATATATGACTTTAGAGTAAGAATAATGAAGGAGAAAGAGGTTTTAGCATTTAAATGTAAGAGTCAATCTTTGGTAGAAATGAAGATAAACTCCACACTAGGCAGCTCACTCATTATTACTGTCACTGGTGATATTGAAGGGGATATTTATTTATTTATTATTTTTTTAAATATACTTTTATTGATTTTATAGAGGAAGGGAGAGAGAGATAGAAATATTAATGATGAGAGAGAGTCATGGATCAGCTGCTTCCTGCACACCCTGACATGTGCCCTTGACCGGACTCGAACTCAGGACCCTTCAGTCCGCAGGCCGACGCTCTATCTACTGAGCCAAACTGGCTAGGGCTGAAGGATATTTTGCTAGTGAGAATGGCACATACCTTCTGTGAAATAGGGCCCAAGAGCCAGGCACTGTGAGCCTCTCTAATTTTCTTAAAATGTTATGATTTTATAACCCGTGAAGGTTTTGATATCATTATGAACACATTTTGAGCTCAAAGGAGTTCTGGGTTCCATCATTTTTTGTTTACTAGTTATGAGTTGTCTCATTGGATGTTGGGTTTGTTAACTTGAACTCTATTACTTGGTAAGCATGATTCTCAGCAACAAACTTCCCTGTTGCTGTTTAGATGTCAGAGGCGGTGTTTGTGTCTGTGCAGTCTTGTACTCAGGATTTAGATAAGAACTGTGCAGGGTTAATTGTTCTACATGTGCTTAAAACACATAATAGCACACCAGGCTAGTCTTACTGTAACACAGGTGATTTGTTTAGTTAAAGAGCCTTTTGTTTCTCAAAGGGGCAACTGAGTGGCCCAATTACATGTCCAGGATCATTTACCAGGTTAGGAGAATGGAGGATTCATTTGGCTCTGAATCGGCCCATTCTGCTTTATTCCCTTTGGTATACTAAGTGCTGCACAAAAGCCAAGTGTTAGGTTGTGTTGTAATTGCCAAAACCTGATTTCTGTCTGCCCTTTCCTTTTCTTGTCTCTGCAATTTGAGCATCTTGAGTAGTAAAGATTGCGTGAAGGAATGCCTAGAACTAAAAGCTTGTTGCTGTCAGGACACTCGGGTTTTCTTGCCACCCCCATCCCTAATTCTGCTATTAAAAAAATAGATATTTTTTTTCTGTGACTGATGCAAAAATAAAATTGGCAAAATTAATTAATGTGGTTTTCATGTGTCCAATTATCTCTGGGTCTAAAAGAGATATAAACTTTACACTGTTAAATCCATCAGTTCTGAGTATCATGTAGTCACGGTGGTAAAAGAAAAATAAGGCTTCTCAGCCATATTCTATTTCTTAATTTTCTTATGCTAGATTAGTATTCAAAAAAGTATTGTTTATATTGGTGACAGTTGAGACACCAGAGCATGTGCTTTCTAATGGGTAGATGTTTGTGTGTAAACTTCTGTTTGTTTCTTACAGCGCATGGATTTAGGAGAATGTACCAAAATCCACGACTTGGCCCTCCGAGCAGATTATGAAATCGCAAGTAAAGAAAGGGACCTGTTTTTTGAATTGGATGTAAGTTTTATTTGGTGTTCATTAGTCCCTATTGTGAAGAGCCAAATATTGAACTAACAGGAATAATGCAACATATGTAAGTTATGAAGCAAACAAAATAGATACTTGTTATTCCATCACTCTAGCTGAGGACTGGAACATGGCCAATACCATTTTGTGTCTGCCTGTGTGTCTACCTCCCCAACACTATTCTATAGTTTGTGTGTGTCATTTCCTTTTAAAAATATTTTTATTACATATTTTTTATGATTCCTTGAAGATATGTTTATTCTTTCTTGTTTTTGAGGCTTTATATAAATGGTTTCATTTATATAAACAGTTGTTAATAACTTTTTCATTCAATATTGTGTTTCTATTTACCCATTTTGCTGGGTATTGTTTGTTTTCATTGTTGATTGAGTATTGCCCAACTATCCATTCTTTATTCATAGACAAAATTAGTGGGTTTTTTTATTATTATGAAGAGTATAATGAATATTCTTGAATATCTTCTTGGTGCATGTGTATAAGGATTTTTCTAGGATATATTCTATTATCTAGGATATATTCCTAGGAGAGAGAGTTGGTAGTTTGTAAGGGATGCACATGTTCATCCTTTCAAGATAATTCTTTTCTTTTTTCTCTCTATTGTTTGGTAAAGTGGCTGAATCAATTTACACCCACAATAGCAGTGTATACATCCTCACCAACATTGGTATTATCAGACTGTTAAATTTTTGCAATTTATTGGTTATAAAATGACATTTTACAACTTTCGTTTATTATTTTCTTCCAAAGAAACCTTTTTAAAACCTTTTTTTTTTTTTTTCCTGAATTTGTCCTCGTTCCCTCTGTGATACCCTGGATATCATGATAATCCATGCTGCATGTCAGTTTATGTACTTTGATTCTTTCCATGCTACTACAACCATTGTAATATCTTAGATTTTTTCCCCTATAAGGCCAGTTTTTACCCCTCCCCTTTTGAGAATGCATGATTTAGAGTTGTTTTGTTTTAATTCCCCCCCCCCCCCCCCAATCCTCCAACACTATTATGACCAGAAGTCATTAGAAGGGTTTGATGCCATTCAGTTTCCTGAGTTGAAGACTGTGAAGGAAGCCAGAGAAAAATGAAACCCAAGGAAAAACATTTTCCCCCTCAAAGGACATTTTAAAGGATATATTGTTGCTGGAGTAAATTCTGGTTAAGCCAGTAGTCTTAAAAAGTGATTAGAATGAAGATTTTTTTTTTCAAATATATTCTTTAACAGCAGTGTGCTCTCGGCATTGAATCTTTGAATTAACAAAAAATGTCTAGCAACAGCTCAACTAACAGATGGGACTTGGAAATGGTAATTTTCTATATTAGTTTTAATTCTTCAATAACCTAAAAATAATTATATAAAGAGGCTATTGCCTAGGGACATCAGGTTTTAGTAAACTGATAGCTATAGAGAGGTATAGGTTGAAATGTCAGTTTTAGTTAATGTATTATTTAGTTAATGTATTAGAAACCTTAGCATTTCTATTAAGTCAGAAGGTCAGTGTACTTTTTAAATGGCCTGATTAATTTAATGTCAGAAAATAGAAGAAATTGAGACTACAGAAAGAGATTGAAATATTAGTAGTAATTTAGTTTATTATGAAGGGTATGTGTTCAGTCAGAGTAGAGAAGATGGGTTTTTAATGAACAGTGTTGGAAACTGTGGATTAGCCAGTTGGAAAAATACCAAGTTGGAGCCCCAAAAAGTTAATTTTGTTTTTGTCATCTTCAGATGTTATAAAGCCTAGAAGCTTTGAGAAAGATGGATGCATTAGTCTATATGAAAACTTAAGATACTATCTTATGAAAAATTCTCATACATAAAATAAGACAAACTGAGGCAAAATATTTGTATATGTGATGATGGGCTAGTTTCCTTTATACCAGTGGTTCTCAACCTGTGGGTCACGACCCCTTTGGCGGTCGAACGACCCTTTCACAGGGGTTGCCTAAGACCATCCTGCATATCAGATATTTACATTACGATTCATAACAGTAGCAACATTACAGTTATGAAGTAGCAACGAAAATAATTTTATGGTTGGGTCACAACATGAGGAATTGTATTTAAAGGGTCAGAAGGTTGAGAACCACTGCTTTCTACAGTAAGTCTTCTGTGACTTTAGTGAAACGATGTGAAAGGAAACCAATTTTACTGTAGGCTAATAGTAGATATAAGCAAGAGTAAAGTTCCTATAGCATCTCATGGATGTTGAATGAAATGATGTTATTCGAGGACCTGCTATATATATAAAATTCATCATGATTGACATAGCTCAATAGAAAACGGGCGCCGAGCATTTCCCAGCAGGCATCTAATCCTATAACAGGTGCTTACCTTCACTCAGAACTAAAGAGATGGGGAGTTAACTAATCCTGATACACCTGGATAATTAAGTATCTCAAGGTGTGAAAACACGTCTACCAGTGCCAGTTGTGAGAGTATATCTGATTGAACACTTGCATATGTACTAAGATAAATTTGCTCCAGAATATTCTTAGAGCATTATAACTGCAGAAAGCAGGAACCAAGAAGACTTCCCTCAGTAAGGGACTGGCTAGATTAGTGGAATGATCTATAACTGTGAAAAGAGAATTGAGGTAGTTTAGTGTATGTTGATGTGAAATTACCTCTAAGATTAAATAGAAGAGCAAAATGTGGTATGATGCTTCCATAGTGTGTTTTTTGTTTTGTTTTTCAAGAAGGGAAGGCGTTTTATACTCCTTGACATGGTCACTCTTGTCTTAGTTGGAGGGCTAGTACAGGTCAAAAGACCTTTTAGTGCTGTGTGAAAATTTACTGTAAGAGGAATTACTTTTTCTTTTAAACCACCCCTCCCACTATCTCCTTAAAAATAATTTTGATATTATAGAAAGCTTATATTAAAATGTTTGATAACCAGTACTGTGAACACATGGAAGGGAGGCCTTCTGCTCTGAAGCATGAATGGTAACTTGGAGCAGCCGTCTTTGTAGAAGGGCAGTCTTGTCAGGAACTGTCAGCATGTCCAGTGAACATGTATTGTATGCTCCTCCCAGAACTCTACAACTGGGAAGGTATCTTGGGGATTTGCGCAAATGAGTACACAGAAAAGAGGCTTGTTGAAACTTTTTTCAGGGGGAAGAAAAGAAGCTATGATGAAACTATTATTAATGGGGGGTTGGTACACAAATTGTGGTCCTATCATTCTGTTTCGTGAAGTTTTAAGTAGGTATCTCTGGGTGTTAGGGAGATTTTACCTTAAAAGGTTTTTTACAGTAATGGCTTTATTTTTTTTTAAATATATTTCTTTATTGATTTCAGAGAGGAAGGGAGAGGGAGAGAGAGAAATAATGAGAGAACCTTAAAAGGTTTTTTACAGTAATGGCTTTATTTTTTTTTAAATATATTTCTTTATTGATTTCAGAGAGGAAGGGAGAGGGAGAGAGAGAAACATTAATGAGAGAGAATCATTGATCAGCTGCCTCCTGATCTGGTGATTGAGCCCACAACCTGGGCATGTGCCCTTGGTCGGAATCAAACCTGGGATCCTTCAGTCCGCAGGCCAATGCTCTATCTGCTGAGCCAAACCAGCTAGGGCCAGTAATGGCTTTAGATATAGTTCACATGCCATAGAATTTGCCCTACCTTAAAAATTTATATTAAAAGTTTTTTCTCAGAATATAAATTTGTTAAATTAATTTGATGAAAATGATTTTCGGTAGGTAATATATACTCACTGTTACAGATTCCAGAGCTCTAGAAGGCTCTCAGACTTTTCACATGGAAGTCTCCCCTTTCTACATGACTAGCCATCCAGTATCTGTCTGTTGAGTTCACTTGTAGCTTTCAAAGAACACTTATTCAGAATGAATTAATTCTCATAGAGGCTAGTTGTGATTTGGGGGATGGGGGGTGTTTCAGAATTGCAATTTTGGTAAGCAGAACACATTAGCTTTTTGACCAGATGTGGTTAATAGACCCACTTTTGATAGACCCTGCTGATGCCTCATGATCTGTTTGTTGGCACTTAGCTCCCAGGCTTGGGATGCATTAGCTCCCAAGTGTCCATATTGAGGTTGGTTTCTGGAAGGGCTGTAGTGTGATCATCACTATTGGGAGATAGACACATGTTTCATATTCACAAGTTGTGAGCCATCACTAATCCATGATTTGTTCTCATTTTTCTTAACACATTTGTGTAGCTCACCAAATGTTTTGGTAGAATCTCTTCATTGTTGGCAATATTTCTGTGAGGTGGGTCAAACATTTACCTCCAAAGTCTCTGAAAGTTCTGTAAGTTTAATATTCTTTGCCAGAATTAATGGAAGTGGCAACATGTGATACTGAGTAGGAGAGGAATCAGATTCTGTTCAGTAGATCAATCAGGGATATTTAGGAGTTGTTTTTTTAAAAAATATATTTTATTGATTTTTTACAGAGAGGAAGGGAGAGGGATAGAGAGTTAGAAACATCCATCAGCTGCCTCCTGCACACCCCGTACTGGGGATGTGCCCGCAACCAAGGTACATGCCCTTGACCTGAATGGAACCTGGGACTCTTCAGTCCACTGGCTGACGCTCTAGCCACTGAGCCAAACTGTTCAGGGCTAGGAGTTTTTGTTTTTGTTTTTTAACCCGGGATATATTACAGAGACAGCTGACAAAAAAAGTATAACATATTGTTTTAATATTGAAAAAAATTTTAATCAAATATGTTCAATATAGCAGGCATTTGAATTATATTTTAAATCATTTTTATTCATTTTTAAAAGATGTTTTTATTGATTTTAGAGAAAGAAGAAGGGAGAAGGATACAGAAATAGAAACATCATTGATCAGCTGCCTCATGTACACCCCCCTACTGGGGATTGAGCCCACAACATGGGCATATGCCCTGACTGGGAATTGAACCAGCTACCTCTTGGCTCATGGGTTGACACTCAGCCACTGAGCAACACCAGCTGGGCTAAATCATTTTTATTATACAAGAGGTGTTTTTTCAAAATAGGTTGTTGAAGTCAGATCAACATGAAAGTTTTGCAATCTAGATGGTACTAAGATACCCATGCCTTTTGTTTATTTTAGAAAAGAACTCTTTTTAAAACTAGAGTTCATAGTTGATTTATTAATTCATGATGCAATGGTTTAAAGGAAAATTACCTTAAAATAAGAACTAATCAGCCCTTTTTACAAATTTAAAATACTTAGACTTTCAGTCACCTCTAAGCAATTTGTAAGAAATTGTCCTAAAAGAGTATTTACCTATGTATGAGAAGACATAAGATGTTTATTGCTATAATTTTGAAGTAATGAAATTGAAAAATCCCAACTATGTTTTTATTAGAGGGGTTACCATAGTTGTGTTAAAATACAGTGAAATACTACACAGCCGTAGATCATAGATGTGTACATTGATGTGAAAAGGATAAAAAGGAAACTTGCAAAACCTGTTTAGTTGGAATTAAAATTACGTGTTTTTATATACTTTTCAAAATTTTATTTTTCAGTTGCAGTTTACATTCAATATTATTTTGTATGTCAGGTATACAGCATAGCAGTTATACAATCATATACTTTACAAAGTGGTCCCCCCAATATTTCATGTACCCACCTGGCATTGCGCATAGTTATTACAGTACTATTGACTATATTCCCTATGCTGTATTTTACATTCCTGTGACTATTTTGTAATTACCAATTTATAGTTTAACACAATTTAAACGGGTATATACCAAACTCTTAAATGGATAGTGCCATAGCGAATGCTCTCACCATGGTGTATCAGTCCCAGTTTTCACATCTTCACTGACAGTGAGTTGTCAAACTCTGGGTCTTTGTCAGCGAGAGACCCAAAAGGTGTAAAAATGTATTTCTTTGTGGGCTTGACAGAGTTGTCATCAAGGTACTTCTTTGTGTAGGTATTCCCTGCCTATATCCTCAGTTTGAGCGTGATGGACAGGACTTCTGGCACCTTTCCACTCAGGAGCCACCCAAAACTCAGGTGTTTTATCTGGGAGAAGGTGCCTACCATTAGCTTCTTCCATCCTAATGCAGCCTCAACCTGACCATGCTAGGACCAGACCTTGCCTTCTTGAGTGTTTTGTCCAGGAATTTTATTTTCTAGGAAAGGGCATGTAATACTTGCTATTAGGTACTGTATGTAAATGCATTTCTTGCAAGTTTCTCAACTTGAACACTGGCAAATAGCAATGTTAACTCATTAGTTTAACCTATGGAAAAGTTACAAAGCAGTACATTTCTTAAGTATCCAGATGTTGAAAATGTAAATAATTTGTTTCTCTTTGATTTAGTGTAAATACAGTTGACATTTTCTTTAAATTGTTTTGTTCTGTGATGTTCTACTTGACAGGTTTCTAGAACAACACACCATGTTAACTAATTTCGAAACTGTCTTAATATACCAAATGTGACCAGTTCTGATTATACCTAGTTTTTCAGTCTTATATATGCACAGTATAATATATATATATATTTTTTAATAGTTATATTTTATTTTATAAGTCAGATATCCTGGGTTACAATCCCTGTGTCACCTTGGGCAAGTTATTTCACCTGTTTCTATTCATCTAGAAACTGGGCTGGTGATAACTGTCTCAGAGTTGTGAGGATTAAGTGTAGGGAGCTAAACCACAGGGGTCCTTGCATACTACTATCACTTAGTAGTTTGGAACCTATACCTCAGCTTCTTCATCTGAGAAATGGAAATCCCTGTACAGCTATTTTGAGGCATGTGTGGAACAGGCATCACTGTCCATTGGCACATGTTTGCTGTGACCATTCTGACAACATTGTTTTGTCTCAGGCTCATGGATTGCTGGCTGGTGTCACTGCTGCTGGGCAGGCAGAATCAGAAACAGCACAGTCAGTCACAGACAGTCCTGTGTGTGAAGGGACAGCCTCCGGCAGCAGCAGTGAGACCTGTGTGCCAGTGCTACGCTGTGCTCAAGTACCCGTAGTAGCTCATGTTTCCTCTCATCACCCTTGAGTTATGAGAAGTTGGATGACTTTCTAGTAAGTTGTGATTAGGACTTAATTTTTAGGTGCAAATACCTTTTTTTTAAAAAACCACTTACTGAAATACATAAAAGAATACCACAATAAATGGTCATAATACAATGACCCTGGAAAGGGTACCTCACTTTATTTATTTTTTAAAAATATTTTTATTGATTTTAGAGAGAGGAGGGGAGAGAGAGAAATATTGATGAGAGAGAAACAACATCAATTGGCTGCCTTTTGTACACCTGGTGCTGGGGATGGAGCCTGCAACCCAGGCATGTGCCCTGACTCAGAATCGAACCAACAATCTCTTGGGCAGGGGTTGACACTCAACTGTTCAGCCACACCATCTAGCAAGGGTGCCTCATTTTAAACAGCTTTTTAAAGAGCAATTTTTGTACAATAAAATCAGTCCATTTAAAATTGTGCATTTTGATTGAGCTATGGAACCTCAAATGTATTTCAATAAAGTTTTTTTATAGTTTTTAAAAATTTTCAAAGCTATTGAGAATCAGATCTATTTTTCATGGCCTTTTTAGTTAGTTTTCTAGTATAGAAGAAAGTGGCTTAATTTAAATATTAATCTTTCAATTTTCTGCTGAGATGTCTGTAATAGAATTTAATCCATTATAGCAATTACTGTTACTATCATGTGGAGAGTAATCAAGTATTTCAAGAAATGCAACATTAAAAAAATCATTTAGACCTGCTCTTTGATTTCACTCTGATATTGAGAAGCACATTGAAGAGAGGGAGGGGCAGTAGAAGCTGGCAGTTAGTCCTGGCCGGGTGGCTCACTGGGTTGGAGTGTCATCCTGGTCAGGGCATAGACCTAGGTTATGGGTTCGATCTCTTTTGGAGGCCTGTACAGGAGGCAACTAAATGATGTTTCTCACATCGATATTTCTCTCCCACCCCCCCCCCCCCCCCCCCCCCCCCCCCCTCTCGCACTCTCTAAAATCAATCAAAAACATATCTTCAGGTGAGGAATTTTTTTTTTTAAGTGAGAATTTAAAAAAAGAAAAGAAAAAAACCTGGCAGTTAAAACACCTCTCGGTCTGCCTATTCTATTTTGTGAAGTTAACTGTTTAGTTTATAACTGATCAGAAGTCTGATTCTGGACCCTGCCAGTTTGGATTCTACTTAAGATACAAGTGGTTTCTCTGATTGGTAAAGACACTGGCACTGTCGTCAGATGTCTATTCTCTATTGGGCCCCTGGGTCTGCCTTGGTTGTGAAATGGCTCTATTTGTGTAGACATGAGAGGGGCTCCGCTCCAAAGTCTCAGTGCCTGTGTGTGGATGAACTGGGGCATCTCAGGCTATTCTCTTAGGAGCTGTTGTCCTAGGTGAGCACAGATGGTATGTGACCCATATCAGCTCATTGGAACTTTGATCCTGGTGAGTTCAAATTTGTCCGCACAACTGATTTACTCTATATTTTTCCAGGAAATACAGGGCATCCAGGCAAACAAATGCCAATCATTTGCATTCCTGATTGTTTGATTTGAACATAGTAAAATGTTATTCTAGTGTCAACCGATCCTTGTGGAGCACTTTCTCAATAGCTCACCTGCTCTCTCCTGGCCATCTTTGGGGGGAGGGATATGGATTACCACCACTTGGTCTGTTGGCCTAACTTTCATCTTCCTTGTTATCATTTCCACCCAAAATTTTCTTTTCTCTCTCTCTCTCTTTTTTTTTTTTTAATGATAGATCATACTGTCTGACCCTGTCATCCATGGCTATACTTCCTTGCTTTCAAGGTGATGCTGACATTAGCAGACTGGCTCATGGGTATAACTTAGGAGATGCTGCTTATTACTGGTGGTAGCCTGAAAGTTGGACAAGTGATTTCCTATTTGTATGTATGTGAAATTAATGTTGGGCCTTTGACTAGTATGACAAATTAACTGCTTAGTATACTAGTATGTGACAGCTTGTTAATTAGTATTTTATTGTTCCCTACCAACTCTCTCCAGAGTAAGCATTTAGATTTCTAGAGTTTCTTTTCCTTTATCTCTTTGGGTAAGTAGTCTACCAGTTTTCCTGGTATTTTAGACAGTAGGCAATAACTAAACGTATTCACAGCTCTCAGTAATATTTGTTCTATTGTTTTGTTTTGAGGTGGAAGGGGGAGCTCTACCCTCAGAACATGAGGGGTAATATTTGCGTGGCTCACAAAGACCAGTGAGTACATCATCTGCATTTCCCACAGCTCACCAGAGGAGGGCTCTAACACCAGTTTCGATCCAGCCTTTTCTGTCCCTCAGAGAACACTATTCATTATGGCCAAGTGTTGTAATTTTCCTTAGTATTTTCTTGGAAATGTTGAGGGATGGGGTACCTATTACAAAATTTGGAAATAAATAAATCAGATGAGAAGACTATGCTCCTGAATGATCATTTGGTTTAACAAAGCCCCTTGATTTAATGTGACTATGGATGTGTTGGCTGGAGTGTAGTTTCAGATCTTCCCACTGAACCTACAGGCTTTAAGAAATCAACCCAGGAGTATTTTCCTGTCGAACAAATGGGTTCTTAGATCATACATGTAATTGATCCCAGCTCTCTGCTTCTCCTGAGCTAGGCGATGGATCACTTGGAGTCCTTTATCGCTGAGTGTGATCGGAGAACTGAACTTGCCAAGAAGCGGCTGGCAGAGACACAGGAGGAGATCAGTGCAGAAGTTTCTGCAAAGGTATGTTTGGGAGGTTTTCGCCTTGAGTTATTGGTACAAATCACGGTCTGGTAAGAACTGGGCTGCTGACGGACTTACAGCTCAACATCAGCACTGATAGTGCATCTTTGGGGTGGACACTCTGCCTTGAGTGTTTCCAGTAAAAGGGTGGCTGTCAGTGAGCTCTCAGCTCCCAGGAGCTACTGCTGCTGTTCCTGCCCCCACCATACATACTTTTTAAAGTTTGTGTTTTTAGTATCCCACATAAACCGGAAATGGGAAGTGGGGAAATGTTTGAACTTTAGTACATCCATATCACGGAATGAAGGTAGGTCTGTATATAATTGGCCTGGGTGTCAGCTGCGTTACTCTTCTGTACTCCCTGTTTAGTAGAACTAAAACTGCTCATTGTTTTTTCCCTTTCAGTTTTGTAAAAGCATTTCTTAGAATATATGCAGTTGCTAACTGGTCCAAAAGTGCTGTTTTATTTCTGAAAGTAAATACAAATAATTAGGCATTTTGCTTACAGTATAAGTTTCATGTATTTAAACATAGACATTTTATTACTCTTACCCCAAAATATTGAACTGTGTAGGAGACATAAAAAGACACAGCCTAGAAAATAACCAGTGTTGATCCTTGCAGCCATATTGGAAGTGACAGAGATGCTGCTGCATTTATTGAAACATGGTGTACAGGTTTAGTTTATGGTCAGAGTCTCAGTGTTGGCAATAAGGATGTCGTAATTGTCACAATTTATGTGAGCCACCAAGGATCTTTAACTGTTCTGTTTATTTTCAGTGGAACAGACCAGAAATTCAGCAAGAGACACACTCATTTTCTTTGTATTTGTTTTTTAGATGCCTGTTTACTTGATTGTTTCTCTCTCCCCTCAGGCAGAAAAAGTACATGAGTTGAATGAAGAAATAGGAAAACTTCTTGCTAAAGCTGAGCAGCTGGGAGCAGAAGGAAATGTGGATGAATCCCAGAAAATTCTTATGGAAGTGGAGAAAGTCCGTGCAAAGAAAAAAGAAGCTGAGGTTGGTGAGAAAAATGTCTTAGAGAAAGGGGAAACTGAGTAATTCCAGAGAGTTGACTCTGGACTGAAATTTAAGCCATGCCTCTATTTTTGAATCTTAGGAAGGAGTTAAAATAAGGGGAGACATTGACAGGATCCCAGTGCATGCTTGGGCTTGTCTTTCCTGTGCCCCCTGGGGACCCTTTGTAACCTAAGACCAGTCACTTGCCCGATCTGAGCATAATTCCCATGTGTGAGGTTCCATAGAGACCAGTTTTACTGCTTATTCCTCCAGCTCCCTGGGGAGTTGGTGGGCTGTGGTGGTTTTATAGCTTGTGTGACTGGACCACAGTTGTATTGCAGATTGCTGTAAAGAATGAAACCTTTGATGCTGCATCTTCGGTAGAGAGAGCCTGTGCAGGTTGGGGTAGCATACAAGTGGTATCGGCCTGGGTGCCAGGCCAGGACACACTGGCAGTGTGGTAGCGGAACAGATCAAGGGCTCAGTGTTTTTTTCAGTGATAACTGTTTTCTTACTAGATTATTTTATCTGTTGGATACCTTGTTCTTGAATCCTCACCACTACAGTTGGAAGTGGCTTGAGAATGGTAGAGCCAGAGTGAGACAGGGTGTGCTCGCCAAGCTTCAGCTCAGTGCCAGGCACTTTTTTAGTTGTGAGCAAGCTGGAAGAGGCCCTCCCCTGAGGGAGATGGCACTGGAGAATGGGTGGGGGCACAGACAGAAGAGAATGTGAACAGTTGGGTAAGATTAATTAAGAAGAAATGGGGTCTGAATTTGAGAGTGACTTTGGGTTGTATGGGGTCTCCAGGTAGGGTAAGTTAATCCTGAAGGCCACTTGGCTGAGATCCACAGACTGAGAAGTTTATCAAAGTGGTGGGGGCAGGAGGGCCAGGTAGAGATGAGATGGCATATAGGTGCCTTGGTGTAGGTCTGGTTTTGGTTGTCACTACCTCTGGCTCAGCATGGTATACGTAATAGGATGGTGCCAAGGGTCATGGGTGTTAGAGCAGTGCTTGCTGAAGGAGTGACAAATTGAAGAGACAGAGCAATGGGGTTACTCATGATGGGGCTGTCAGGACACCTTCCCATGGTGCCCCAGCAGCACAGGCTAGAATTGAGGTCAGCAGTGTTTGTTGGAAGGTGGTGCTGCGATAATGCTTCATGCACCTGTCACCAACATCCCCTTCAGTGATATTCGTAGGTAATATAATCCATTCTTGAACGTAAAGGAGAGACAAAAGAATTCGCAATACATATCTGATGTTTTTGTATATAATTGCTTAGATTGATCACACTAAAAGATAAATGAGCCCTGGCCCCCGCGCTCAGTGGTTAGAGCATTGGCCCAAGCACCAAAGGGTCGTATGTTCATTTTAGTCCTTTATAGGAACTAAATCTCTGTATACTTAAATGGGAAATTTGTGTTTATACGTAGTACAGAATTAGGCTCCCTGAGTTGTTGCTGACAGTTCAGCTGTACCAGGAAGACCAGAGAGTTAGGAGAGACCCTCCGTGGCCTCTTACCACACACACTGAAGGCCAGCTCTTCCTGCTTCAAAGAACAAGCAGACACCAAAGTCTGTGATGGCTCAAAGATTTACACATGGGCTAAAGTAATTGTAGATGTGGTGTTCACCACATGGATGTCTGTAGACAGCTGGGACGGGAGCAGGATATGGGACACATGGCTGTTCATGCCCAGGACTGCTAGCATCCTTGCTCCTGCTGCTGGTCCCTGTCGCCATCACTGTGAGTACTGTCAAGAGGCAGCACCACTTAAAACCACCAGGCAAGACAGATGGTGTGTGGGAAGGCTCGGGAGTGCTGGTCTCTGTGGTGGTGTGGCACCTGTGGGATCCTTTCTGCTCTTAGTAGCAGGCTTAAGAGAGTACAGAGATCCTGTGTACTCTTCATCCGTTTTCCCCAATGTTGTAAAACTCTAGCACAATATCACGGAAAGGATACTGACATTAATAACAATCAAGGTACAGAACATCCAGCCCTAGCTGATTTGGCTCTGTGGATAGAGCTTCAGCCTGTGGACTGAAGGGTCCCGGGTTTGATTCCAGTCAAGGGCACATGGCCTGGGTTGTGGGCTTGATCCCCAATAGGAAGTGTACAGAAGGCAGCCAATCAATGATTCTGTCATCATTGATGTTTCTATCTCTCTCTCCCTCTCCCTTCCTCTCTGAAATCAATAAGAATATGTTACAAAAAAAAAAAAAAGATACAGAACATTCAGTGTGGCCAACGTGGCTCAGTTGGTTGAGGGTCGGCCTATGAGCCAGGAGGTCCAGGTTTGATTCCTGGTCAAGGGCACATGCTAGGGTTGTGGGCTCCATCCCCAGTGTGGGGTGTGCAGTAGGCAGCCGATTATTGATTCTCTCTCATCTTTGGTGTTTCTCCCTCTCCCTTCCTCTCTGAAATCAATAAAAAATATATATTTTTAAAAAGATACAGAACATCCATTACCACAGATTCCCCTCCTGTTGCCCTTTATAGCCACACCTACTTCTCTAACCTCTGGCAACCACCAATCTGTCCTCCATGTCTTTATTTGGTCATTTCAAGAATGTTATATAAATTGAATCATAAAGTATGTAGCCTTATCAAGCCCCCAACCCAGGCATGTGCCCTTGACCGGAATTGAACCTGGGACCCTTCAGTCCGCAGGTCGATGCTCTATCCATTGAGCCAAACCAGCTAGGGCCATAATGTTTTTTAAAAATTGATATTAGAGAGAGGAAGGAAGGGAGGGAGTAAGAGAGACACATCAACCAGGGATTGAACCCACACCCCGAGCATGTGCCCTGACCGGGAATCAAACTGGCGACCTTCCAACTGAGTTACACTGGCCAGGGCAGAATCGGCTTTTCAGTCAGCATAATTAGAATTTATCTTGAGAGATATTACAGAGTGGCACTCAAAGTTACAAAACTACAGAAGGGGAAACAATATCATAAATATTTGTATAACCAACATGTTTTTAATTTTTGCTTAAGATTTTTTTGGTTTTGTTTTTACTTAAAAGTGTGTAGTGCATTATAATGGAAATTCAGGTTCTCTGTGTTTCCCCTCCTCCCTAGTCCCAATTTTCCTCCCTTTCCAGAGGCAGGCATTAGTGTACATGTAGCATAATCTTCAATTCTGTCTTTATACTTTATTACACATGTATACCCATAAACACTATGCATGTGTGTGAGGGGGATGTACTTTGTACATTAAGAAAAGTCCTACATGTCCCACTGGTGTGGCTTAGTGGTTGACCGTGGACTTATGAATCAGGAGGTCATGGTTGATTCCAGGTTGGCACATGCCCGGGTTGTGGGCTCAATTTCCAGTGTGGGGTGTGCAGGAGAGAGTACAGAGATCCCGTGTACCCTTTATCTGTTTCCCCCGATGTTGTAAAACTCTAGCACAAGATCACAGAAAGGATACTGACGTTAATAATAATCAAGATACAGAACATCATTGATGTTCCTGTCTCCCTCTCCTTCCTTCCTCTCTGAAGTCAATAAAAATAATATTAAATTTTTAAAAAGTCCTACATAAATTCTGTCCGCACTCTCCATGTCTTTTACTCACTTGCATTGTTTACTCAGCATGTTTTATGAGATCTCTCCATGTTGCTGCCTATAGATTTGTTTTAGCTTATTGCTGTAGGATTCCATTTTATGAACCTACCTACTAGAGGCCCAGTGCACAAAATATGTGCACTCGAGGTGGGGGGAGAGGTTTCCTCAGCCTGGCCTGTGCCCTCTCGCAGTCCGGGAGCCCTTGGGGATGTCCAACTCCCACCACTCCGGGAGCCCTTGGGGATGTCCAACTCCCACCACTGCTGCTGCACTCGCCAGCTGTGAGCCCGCCTTCTGCCTGAGCAGAGCCAGAAAAATATCCCCACTGCCCCCTGGTGGTCAGTGCATGTCATAGTGACCAGTCGGTCTGCCATTTGGTCGATTAGTATATTAGCCTTTTATTATATAGGACTAGAGGCCCGGTGCCCTCTCGCAGTCTGGAACCCCTCGGGAGATAACGACCTGCTGGCTTAGGCCTGCTCCCGGGTGGCAGAGGGCAGGCCCAATCCCTAGGTGCAGCCCCTGGTCGGGCTCAGAGCAAGGCCGATTGGGGAGTTGGGGCGCCGCCCCCTGTCATGCACAGAGCAGGGCGGATCATGAGGTTGCGATGCCACCCTCAGTCACGCTCAGGGTAGGGCCGATTGGGGGGTTGGGCCGCCGCCCCCTGTCACGCTCAAGGCAGGGTCGATGGGGAGGTTGCGGCGCCACCCCCTGTCACGCACAGAGCAGGGCCGATCAGGGGGTTGAGGAGCTCCCCCCTGTCACTCACAGAGTAGGGCCGATAGGGGAGTGAGGGCACCGCCCCCTGTCACACACACAGCAGGGCGGATCAGGGGGTTGGGGCGCTGC